GTTAATAAAACGCTTCTTAGTTGATACTTTACGTTTAAAATTAGTTTATGTTTATTGGCTTAATGTTTAGTAGTTTTGTTGAATTGTGGTACTTATATTAGTTTTATGTTTAGTAGCTTGAATTAGCTTAATGAATTGTGTTCTTTATATTAGTTTCATGTTTAATAGTTTGATACTTTACGTTTAAAATTAGTTTATGTTTATTGGCTTAATGTTTAGTAGTTTTGTTGAATTGTGGTACTTATATTAGTTTTATGTTTAGTTGCTTGAATTAGCTTAATGAATTGTGTTCTTTATATTAGTTTCATGTTTAATAGTTTGAATTAGTTTAATAAATTAGTTGATGCTGAATGTTGAATGTTAAATTGCTAACTGCGCAGGGTTTGAAAATTGATACAGGTGGAGTAGAAAACATAAAACGCATATAAATAAAAAAAAATAATAATAACATACGGCGTCGGTTTTTACCTAAAAACCGACGCCGTAGGTTAATTATTATTTTTTAAAAAAATAATAAATATATACGGCTTCGGCTTTTAGGTAAAAACCGAAGCCGTATATATATATATATATATATATATATATATATATATATATATATATATATATATATATATATATATATACACGGCGTCGGCTTTTACCTAAAAACCGACGCCGTAGGGTAATTATTTTTTATTTTTTAAAAACAATAAATATATACGGCTTCGGCGTTTACCTAAAAGCCGACGTCGTATGTATATATATATATATATACGGCTTCGGCTTTTAGGTAAAAGCCGAAGCCGTATATTACATACGACGTCGGTTGAACAACCGACGTCGTATCATTTACTTACGACGTCTCTTAAGACGACGTCGAAAGATAACCGACGTTAAATGGGGTGTTTTAACCGACGTTAAAACCGTTTTCTGTAGTAGTGGAGATAACGAGGGATACAAAAGTTTTCCACTAAACCCAAATTAAGATTTACATAAAGCAGCATTCCAACTACTTTAAATTTTGTTTTTAACTACTTTGAATTTCTTGGGCACATTCCGGTTTCCAATGCTTTGTACCGTCATCAGAGACATCTATTACACATCATTTTGGCCTCCAACATTCTGCTCGCCTCCTGTCAAGCATATCAACAAACCCATTCATTATCATATATGTAATGCACCACCAGTTTTGTGTTAACTTCTACGTCCATTTCTTTAGAGCACAAATATATTTTCTGGTATGCACATTGTCCCCTTAGGCGGTGCACACGGTATTTCCCTGCTTAAATGTGTGCTCTTTAGCGTCTACGTGTGTGCACGATAAGCCAAACTTTTGGGTATCTCTGTGTTGCCCGGCTTTAATTACATTGCTAAACGAAGCTCACCCAATTGTTAGTATTCCTTTTTCTTCATGTGTTCATTCCTACATCCCTCAGTTACTCTACCCACTATGAAACGTTGAAACCTATTCTTTTCTTTAATACGGCAGTCGTCAAACCCACAATATTTATATGAGTTTCTGTTTTCGTAATAGGCTAATCCCTAACATGCATCGCTTTCAAGAAAACAGACTTATGTACTAATTTAAACACCGATTGAAAGGTGACAATCGGAGAGAACTGCTTACCTCTTTCCGCGGTATCCATCTTCTTCGCCTTCGCTTCTTGATAGTTGTGTGGACGTCGTCGCTTACTGCTGGAGGAATAGTAGTCATGAATTAGAATCCTTCCTAAATTAAAAGACATGTAAGCCTGCGTGATATATTGTGATATAATATTATCCATAATTACATTTTGCATGCATTACCTTTATTACCCTTTTTACCATTTACATCATAATTAATACATGCTAATGAACTAAATCTAAGCGGTCTAAACCCTCTAATCCAATGACCTCATTTTGTCCACATGTTTGTATTTTAAGGGTGTTTGCATGTGAATGCAACCCTATATATATACATATATATATATATATATATATATATATATATATATATATATATATATATATTGTATGTTCGTATATACATCATGTGCATCCATATGTAATTTGTAAGTATTGATATGTAATTAAGAAAGATGTATGTTCGCTGATCAATGTTATTGTGTATTTTTAAAGCCAAATTATGATTTCGGCGGTATGAATATATGCATATCAATAAGCATAATTTGTATGTAATATAAGTTATGTTCGTATAAAGGAATTCTTATGTCGGATATTTATAAAATATTAGTGTATTATGTTTAGCGTACGGATGTTCATAGCATGTTAATTGGTATAAAGGTTATAAGATAGTAGTATATGGTATATTGAGCATGTATTTGGATTTTGACACATGGGATGCTAAGTGATGAAATTGGTGTGATGCTGTGAATAAAGTTATTTTGGTTACAGATATTAGATGTAAATTTTGGCATATTAATGAGTAATATGCATAATCTGAGCATGTTATATATTTTTTTATTGCAATAATTATTTGACTGTTATAATTATGTCTTTAGAAAAGCAGGTTCGTTAGGGATAAATTTAGAGCCTTTTAGGTCTGAATTGATTGCTTACTCCCAAACGATTTTACTTCAAATACGAGAACCCATAAATTAGGGAAGTTTCTTGGGGAGGAATACTTGTTTTATGGCCCTGGCTTAAACGCCTTGCTACTAGTGCCCTTGCGACACTACTCTGTCTAAGGAGTTGGTATTTAACCAAGCTTCGTCTTGACCAACTTTCCTGGAGTATACCTAACGATTTTCTATCATTTTTTGGTTTAATCTGTTTGTCAATTAGGATTGACATATTCTCTACATGAGCCTATTTCATGACTAAGTTGATCCACAAATCAATTGGGCATATTATTTTTCTTCTCTCTCAACTTGTGCGTGAGCCAATTTAGGAATAACAAAATATTCCTAACATTTTGGTAGATTATGGCTGCACTAACCAAGCGTGAATTTACCTAACTAGCCTTAGACGGGAGTAACTATTTAACTTGGGCTCTTGATGTGGAGATCTATCTCGCATCAACTGAGCTACAAGATACTATTATTGCTGATTCCACAAGTAATGCGCCCCAGAAGGCCAAAGCACTCATCTTCCTCCGTCACCATCTTAATCATGATCTTAAGAATGTATATCTTACTGAAAAGGTCCCCTACATTTTATGGGAATTCCTCAAGGACCGTTTTGATCAACAAATATCACTTGTCCTCCCCCAGGCACAATATAACTGGCTGAATTTGAGGTTCCAAGACTATAAGTCTGTCATGAATATAATTCGGCATTACATAAAATAGTGTCACAGCTCAAACTTTGTAAACAAGAAGTTTCTGACAAAGACTTGATCGAAAAGACTTTGTCCACATTTCATGCTAGTAACCTTGTACTCCAGCAGCAGTACAGGGCCAAAAACTATACCCAGCATGTTGAGCTGATCTCCGCCCTCCTAGTAGCTGAGAAGCATAACCAGTTGTTAATGCGAAACCATAATGCACGCCCTGTTGGCTCTGCACCAGTGCTTGAAGCACACCATGTTGCCCAGTCAAGCAACACTAGGGGGAACCAAGATAGAGGACGAGGAAGAGGTCGTGGAAGGGGTCCGAGTCGTGGATGAACACATGGAAGCAACAAGCAAAGGCAGCCAAAAAATCAGGAACAACCAAGCTCATCCAACAATCATTTCGGGCAGCAGCAAGCCTGCTATAGATGTGGGTGCACATGGCACTGGTCACGTACATGTCGCACCCCGAAGCACTTGGTTGAGGCATATTAGCAAATAATTAAGAGGGACAAAACGCGGCCTAAAGATGAGTCTCACCATGTTGCGTTACCAGAAGCAAACACACTTGATAATGCTGATGATGATGACCTCATGAAGTATGAGCTTGAAGATTATGGAGATCAAGAATGATCTTTCTTTTCTTTCTATCCTCGTTTTTATGTAATAATTGTGGATTAGCCGCGACAGTTTCTTTCATACTTTTAAGTGCCTCTATGAATTTTGAATAAATATTCTATGCTCTTTAAATAAATCTTCTTATGAATAGAATATTCATCCCTCGTTTTCCTGATTACTCGTTTCTCTATAGAGATATGGAGGATGTTTCTGCTTTATGCTTGGTAGATAGTGCAACCACGCACACTATTTTGACAGACAGAAGATTCTTATTGTGGGCTCTGGATCGGAAGAGTTTCACTTATTCTTCTTAACAGAACAAAGTTAATAATCGAAACTGCCCTCCTATATCCTCAATCAAAAAGAACCATACTTAGTTTTAAGGATATTCGGTCCAAACGAGTTTTCACATAGAAACTAAATCAAAAACAATACCGAATTCCTTGATTATCTTGACAAAAAAATGGTAAATAACTAGAAAATGGAAATCGAAAAACTTCTTTCCATTTCTTCAGGCCTGTATTATTCTTATATCAAGCCCCAAATTTCCTGCATTGCACTTGCAGAGAAATTTAAAGATACACATTAATTTAAAGATACACATTAATTTCGCTTAGGTCACCCTGGGCAAACTATGATAAGTCAGATACTTTCAAACTCGACTGGACACAACCTTCTTAGGACAAACATACTTTCTACAAAAAGATTTCACATGTGTTCCCTGTGCAAAGGGAAAACTTATTCTAAGGCCCTCACGTCCTAAGATTGGTAAGATTGGTTTTGGGTGACCTGTCTTCCTGCAGAGGCCACAGGTTGATATTTGTAGACCAATTCATCTTTCATCTCGACCATTTTGATATTTCATGGTCCTTATTGATGCTTCCACCCGATGAACACATGTGTGCCTGTTGTCCACATGCATGAAATAAGGCATTCACAAAATTTATAATTCGACTCATTACATTGAATGCTCAATTCCCCGATTATCCTATTAAGAATGTAAGAATGGATAAAACTGGTGAATTCACCTCGTCAGCTTTTGACGATTATTTTATGGCCATGGGGATTAAGGTGGAACAACCTGTATCATTCGTCCACACCCAGAGTGGTCTAACTGAATCCCTTATCAAAAGAATTAAGCTAACAGCTAGACCATTACTGGAACGGTCCAGTCTACCAGTCACTTGTGGGGGACACGCAGTATTGCATGCTGCTGATTTGATACAACTTTGGCCAACTGCATAACATGATTATTCCCCCATACACATAGTACGTGGTAGAATTAACCATTTCCCTGTCTGTGTTTCGAGTCTTAGTATGTAGTCCATTTTATTGTATCACCACCTCACGCGTATCTCTATGGGCTATAAACCCACGTCTGCTGTTTAAATACCTAGAGCCCATTATAGGGGATCAATAGATACGCTGACTGCATACTTAATGGATATTTTTTCTCGGCATTAGGGGGAGATAATAGATTAACTTTTAATGGAATGCCAAGAAATTTCATAGAATGAAAACATCTTCATTATTAAAATTCCACGTACTAGTTAGACTGAACTGGAAGTTCAAAAAATAATCTATTTGCGATATTAGCAAATAATCTGCCAAACATATTTATTGATCATAGTGATCATAAAAGAGTGACTAGGTCCAATATACTTTCCCCAACTTGGACCAAATATATCTACCGATACTCCTTGACGCTAGAAGTGTAGGAGATCTATCGATGTAAAAGTTAAGAATCATAATACTAGATCTAGTAAGAAATAAACATTGTCACTCTTTGAAAAACTTGAATAATTTAGTCTAGGACACGCTCGTCTAGACAACGAGAAACCCTAGTCAATTCATAGGTGCACCAAAGAAACGTAATACTAGGAATGCGGAACGACCAGATCAAAATATCTTTGGGAAATGTCTAGAATCTGGTTGACTTAAATATTGCCATGAGCAATTATATATATGGGAGAAATTCTTGAGAAATGTTATAAGTTGTCGACAACACAATTGGCTTCACATTGCTCATATTATATGACAATCTGGATCCAGAGCTAGGTGCCAGAAGCGCCTAGATTTATTAACGTATAAAGAGAGCAATTAAAGGCATATACAACTCAACTTGCTAATATATTCCTTTCGTACACCATTGAGGTATTAACCCTGTAGGTTACAAATGGTGTGGAAGGAAAACAAGAATAACGAGGTGATAGAGTATGAAGCGAGTTTGTAGCCTATCGGTTCACGCAAAGACCCTTGATTGATTTTAATCAAATAAAATCTCCAACGATAAATGGCATTAAGTTCCGCTACATAATATCATTGGCAGAATAATAATAAATTTAGACATACAGTTAATATTTATCTTGAGAAATCCTTGATGGATTTATAATTCCCGAAATGAGAATTTATGTGTCATTATTTAATCTTTAAAGGGATGCGAATGGAGTTATTATCCTCATTAAGAAGGAATAATATGCACGATAAAGGGTTGATAATGAACTTATTTATTAGTTATTATCTTAGTCAATATTGATAGTGTAAACATCAATGAAATAACTAAAGAGCTTGATGATATCAGTTCATATCTAAAGACGGAAATTTTGAAATAAAAGCATGTGAAAGCTAAGTATTATCTCGACTTGAAGATCGAGTCTTTTATTGAATAAATTTTATACACCAGTTAGCCTATTTTTGACTTATCTATATGGTTAAGTATCATGGTTTCGTCAAACTATAGGTTGCCTAATAATCTCTTGAAGTGGATAAGGAACCGTTTAGACTCGGTAAGGATACCTTAACATTCCTTTACTTCATTTGTCGTTGGAGAACCTATTAGAACCAGAAGTTCCATAATCGCAACAGACATGATATTTGCGATAAAATTGCTAGTAACATCTAGGGCTCCTACTACAATGAAATATTGGAATAGTGTTGAATATATTCTCCGAGTTACAAAAGAGTTTGGTATTTATATGATAAACAAATGTATAGTTTTGATAGGCTGTTTGGGTATTGGCTATTTATATGTTTGATCCCCGTGAGGCCAAAATTCCATACTGGTTAAACAATGTATTACCCCCGATGTCTCAAATGAGGACGATAACCCTTGAGTTGCACAAATGATATATGAGTATGTTAAAGAATATTTGACAAAGCAAATATAGCGTCAAAATTCAACCAATACGAGCTCTAGAAGAGTCACAGAATTATTGTGCAAGATATTCACTCTAGTGACAATCCTGAAGATTTGACTAATCCATTTCTACAATTTTGGATATATATGTGTGGATTTGAAGATTGTCTTCTTGAGGGGGGAGTATCATTTTACAATCCTGAAGATTGGGTCTTGAAGACTAACAATTGTACTCTGTTCCTTAGTTAAGTTTTCCCCACGGGGTTTTTCCTTAAATCTAAGGTTTCTAACGAGGCAGTTAATCTAAAACAAGAATACACATACACCATGCACTCTTTTCCTCAAATAGTTTTTCCCATTGGGTTTTATAGTGAGGTTTTTAATGAGGCATGAGTAAGATATAGTAATGTAAATGGGGAGAAGTAAACAAACCCCAAAATCATGAAGATTATGCCTTGAAGGCTTATGGTTGTACTTGTTAGTGTTTTATTTTGTTCAAAACCCCAACATGTAATTGACAATATTATTATGGCAAATTAAGATAGGATTTAGCTTGGTGTCTGTTTACTCTTATAGAAGACTGATTGATCAGTTTTATCAACAGACGCACTTCCACTGAAGATCTGTTAAAGGGAGATGTTTCCAAAATGCTGAACGCGGTTTGTGAAGACAGTTTTGGAAAGAATATTAGCGGATGAGCTTGGAAGGTATGGACCGAATCTGAAAGATTTAATTCTTCAAAAAATACGTCCTACCATCTACAATCAAAGATATTTTTGGAGAGTGTTCCTTCATAGGAAGTATAAGTACCCTCATTCGATCAAGAATTACGGTTACGTGTTTAAGAAGACGAAAACGCTCAATGCTATACAGGAACACACATCTTTGATTATCATGTCTCTTCTCAAGGTATTAAGTTCTTGGTGATTATGATGAAGAACTTGAGAAGGATTAACGTTGCTTAATCGAAAGGACGCGAAGATCACTCAGTTGTGGGAATAACGTGGGACTGCGTCATTGAAGCGGACTGCATCAGAGTTTGCTCTCCAATTGTAGGGATATCATTTGACTTCTTCATGCTTGGCTCTCCGACTTCAACAATCCACTAAACCTTTGTAGACTGGGTACGTACCTTGTGTAGGGCACTTGGGTGAGATTGTTGTTTCTCTACCTTTGTACATTGGATTATGAGTTAGTGGATTGGACGCCTCGGTGATAGTCCCCCAGATGTAGATACACACTATATCGAACTGGGTAAACATCGTATGTGTTGATTTATTTTCTGCTTTAGTCTTTCACTCTAAACTAATCTACATTCTAACTGGATGGCTGACAAATCAAGTCTCTGAATCAGTCAGTCCAGTATATCAGTTGATAATCTCTAATAATAATCTTAAACTGAGGAAATGCAAAATTACAGTACTCTTTTTCCCTTAACTAAGTTTTTCCCACAAGGTTTTCTAAAGTTAAGTTTTTTAATAAGGCAACCAATACAATATATGTTTTACATATATCATGTACTTTTTTCTTCAACTAGGTTTTTCCCACGTGGTTTTCATAGTGAAGTTTTTAATGAGGCATGAGTATATCTTCTATTGTACTATTTTCTTGTCTAGGTTTTTCCCACAGGGTTTTCCTAGCAACTTTTTAACGAGGCATGATTATGGCCAAATAATGTCCAAGGGGGAGCGTTGTAAAACCTTATGTGGACACTATTCTATTGATGATAGGATTCTTAATACGGTAGGAGTCCTAATTCTGTAAAAGTCCTGAAGGCTATTGTGATAGAGATGTTATATATACAATTGTAATGCTGTACGAGTTTCTTCTCTGGATGATAATAATAATCACTTTTCTTTGTCTTTTCTCTATTCTTTATTCTTCTTCTTCTTGCTATTATTACTCTTTGTTACTATTCTCCACGAGCTAAAGGCTTGCAGACAAACTTGTAATTCAACAATATATAAGTTTATCTAAATATGTATATGATTAGAGATGATATTAACCATACAAAATTTTAATTTTAATTTTGTATGCTATGAAAATAGATACTTCACCAAATATATAAAGTCTAACTATATTATAATATTGGACGGTTTAATATTTTTTCATTTTTTTTTCTACTTTTTAAAATTTTAAATTCATAATAACAAAAAAATTTCCGTGCATTGCACGAGTATAATACTAGTACATTAATATAATATGGACGGAGTGATCAAGAGAAATGAGATTTCATAAATGATATAGAGCAATTAGGGTAATAAATAACAAAAATTAGCTAATTAATTTAGAGGCGTATTTGAATTATTTTAACTCATTCTGCACATTCAATACATTTATTCTCTATATTATTACAAACACACAAACTACAAAAGGATTTAAATTACCTCGGTGTAGGGGTAAAAGGCTCAAATAGGCAGTATAAGTGGGCTTGAAATGCAAAAGTAGTAGAGAGCCGGCGATGAAAAATTGAAGTAGTGGAGAGTCTACGATGGTGGATCAAATCAACAAAGAGTTGAAATGGAAGATCAAAGAAATAGAGAGCCAGCGGTGGAAGATTGAAGAAGTAAAGAATCTGCGATGAAATATCGAAGCAGTAGAGAATCAATGATGGAAATTTGAAGCAAAGGAGAGTCAACGGTAGAAAAGTGAAGCAATGGAGAGTCAATGATGGATGATCGAAGCAACAATGAGTTTTCCATGGAAGATGAACACAACGGAGACCCAACGATGGGAAATTGGAGCGACAGAGAGCCGCCAATAGAAAATCGGAGGGATGGATGCATCATGAGACGGCCACACGATTGTCGCATGGGAGGAGTCCTGTAACACCCCGAAATTTTGAAACTTTTTAAAACATATATATTAAAGGTAAATTTTCATTAAATCCCAAAACCAAACATAAGAGTGCGGGGTGCTATGCCACATCTAAGCTGGAGAGCTCAGATGCACAGGCTAAACTAACTAAATATCCTCAAAGCAATGTCAATACATAATCATGGCACGCAGGCCGAAAGGGAACTAACTAATCTACGCTTCGGATCTCTAGCGTGCTCCGGGGTCTACTCATCTGTGCCTGAAAGCCAACTATCTGTTCAGCGAATGATGCTGGTAACCCACTCCAACGCGTTGAAATACAATATAGGTAGATATATATATATATATATATATATATATATATATATATATATATATATATGAAAATCATTTTGAAGCAGGAAGATATATGCTTAGCAGACTCTAGCTTTAAAACCAGGAATAGACTCGACAGGTAGGGATAAGCACATTAATCAATGATAAACAGTTACATAAAGGCAGTATCATAACGAACATATATTTAAGGTCATAGTTCTCTTCCAAATCAATCACGTCATCCTTCAATCATCATTCATATCACATAGGCACACTTTGGTGGCGCCACGGGACCAATCGCATGCTCCGAACATGAGGGTTAGTGCGTATAGCACTAACACGGCCCCGCAGCACCCTACCTCATACCGCAGCATGAAGGGGTTGATCGCAACCAACTGAATAGACCGCCGATAGTTCGACGGCAGATCACAGCCCTACACACCGCTGACGCGCTCAGTCGGTGGACTATGATCCTCTTTTGGGGACTGCGACCCTACACACCGTTGACGAGCACAGTAGGTGGATCGTAGCTGATCAAAGCCCTACACACCGCCTGAGGAACTCATTCGGTAGGCGATGATCCTCGGAGACTACGACCCTACACACGCTGGCATATCACTCAATGGATCGCAGCCGACCATAGCCCTACACACCGCTTAATTACTCATTCGGTGGACTATGGCCTTCCTCGGGCTAGTGGCCCTACACACCGCTTGCGCGTCCAGTCGGTGGACCATAACACACGAGGCCCATGTGGACCGCAGCCCAAGAAGTGAATCACTGACCGCATCCAGGAGAATGAACCGCAGCTCAGGAATAACCAATTTGATCGCAACCAAATTGGGGGATCATGCATCACATAACACATAGTAGCATATAATAGCACATTGGGAAGGGGGAAAACGTATAGATAAACTTATGCGTTATTATCGACATACTATGAAAGTCCTAAGGGGTTCATACATCTTCTTCCTAGGCCAACGGGTTACCGATACAACTAGCATGCAATAAACGAGACTCTTTTATCCTAAGAACGGTACCCGAAACATCAAACTAGACTCACGCATGACAAACGGAGTCCGTTGGGACACCATGGGGGTTGGGGAAATCAAACGGGAAGCCAAAGTCCCGAAGTGGGCAATGACAAGCCGGTAGCCGGTGGGTGGAAGGCCACCCGCCGGCGACAGATTTCCGGGCAGAGGGTGCCCGCCGGCTGCCCGCTGCCGGCGGTGTTTCTTTGGGCAGCGGGTAGGTGGCTGGTCTCCCTACCCCCACTGACTCTTTATCAAAATAAACGCCCCGAGATCCTTTGTGGAACCCGAAACCATGCTTAGACACTTTTAAACGCAAATAACGACACCACGTAGGCAATTAATGGATCAAAAGCAACAATCACGTAGAACACAACCTATTATGACTCCTAGACATAATCAACACCCGAACATATGAATCCCCACCCAAATATACCAAGAAAATCCCAATACGAAATTCATGATTCAACCTAGGGCTCTAATCATATTTAATTTAACAAAATCATAGTTTATCTTTAAAATCAAGAAACATCAATACTTATCAAGAATGTCACATAATTATCAAGATCCTCTCATTGTCATCAAGATTATCAAGATCACACATAAAATCATCTCATCAATCATCAAGATCACATCACAATCATTATATCAAGACACAAGCATATGGAGGAAGCCAAAGAAGGGGATTATAGCAAGGAAAATAGGTTTTGTTGAGACATGGGTTACCTTTTAGCCTTAATTAAATCCCTTGGCTATGAAGGATCTTTCTTTAAGATTTCTTCTTTCTTGATTTCTCCTATGGGAATTCTTGGAATTTCTTGTGTGGTGAAAGTTATTGTGGTGTGAGTTCTAGGTGCCTCCTATGTCCCTATTTATATATCTAAGAGTCCCAATTAGGGTCTAAATGGTATGGGTTTGCTAATTCTATTTCCTATAGGACTAAGGGATTGGTTTTAGGGATAAAGGTCCATGGACTATGGTGGACCCCTTTTTAGCTAATTAATGGATTTTAATTCCCTTTTTAGGGTAATTAATTAATTAATTAGTTTGGTTTAGGGGTTGTAACACGGGGTGTTACAAGTCCGATGCACATGATCAAGATTCTATATATATGTCAAGTAAATTCTAGAACTGGAAAGAAAAACTTGTGTATTTAATATTCAGAATGAATTTGCCTTGATTTCTTTAGCATACTACAGCGCAGCAAGCTATTTATAGTCCAATAGATTAATAAATTAAATTCCCTACAAATTAGCCACTAATGAATTACATACAATAGCCATACATTCAAGCAACACTAATCAACATTCGCTACATTCTTGAAAACTTCCTCTACCCTCTCCCCGCCGCTGTGTGCCTGGATCTCCTCACCCAATTTTTTAATCACCACACTCACCTTTGACACCTTGTACAAGAGATCTTTCATCTCCGCTTCAGCTATGGCTTTTTCTTTCTCCTTGGAAAAAACATAGATTTTTTTAACATTTTAGGAGGTTAAATCGATATATGCATGTTATAAGTTAGAACGTATATATAACATTGTTCAATAAATTGTTTTCTGTATAAGTTTATGGATTGTAACATGTTTATTAAACATGTTATGTTCATGGAAAAGAGATATTTTGTGATACATATGTCTCAACACAACATGAATGTATGTTAATGTGAGGTTTTTAAGAATTATTTTGTTTTTAATATTTATATTAATTTATTTTCACATTTTGATCCTTTCATTGACTACAAGTTCTTTAATTCAAGTTTCTTTTGTTATTATTTGGTAGTTCCTTTACTGTGTTTTACCTCTTTTAAAGTGCATGTGTATATATTTCACAATTGTAAAATTATCTTGTGTAGGTCCATTATGAATGGTTGGTATGATCCTAGATACAAGGATTTTGGCTTACCAATTGATCCTTGCCTCAGAGCCTTGGCATTAAATTCAAGTTTCTTAAGTGGTAATAATTTTATTTGTATTTTTTTAAAATTATCTCGATGTAGGGGTAAAAGGCTCAAACAGGTAGTAAGAAGCTGAGAATCTGTGAGGAAAGATCTAAGAAGTAGAGAACCGGCAATAATGAAACGGCTGCACCATCGTCGCATGGGAGGAGTCCATTGCACTGATTCTAGAAGATGAAAGAAAGACTTTTGTATTTAAAATTCAGAATGGATTTGCCTTGATTTCTTTAGCATACTATATAAGCTATTGCAATAGATTAACAAATTTCCTACAAATTAGCCACTGATGAATTACAATAGCCATACACATTAAAACAATTTTCCTAATCTACTAGTTTTGCCAAAATCATCCGCTAACTACTTCTTACTTATGGGATACTAGATCATGATTATGCTAATAGTTTCATTTCAAAATGTTAAATTTTAATAATCTTCTCCCGCAACTCTTTACCATCCAACAACTCCTTAAAGTTCCAACTTCTTATGGGGTGCTAGATCATAATTATGCTAACAGTTTCATTTCAAAATGTTAAATTTTAATATGTAAACAAACCTATTTAAATTTTATGAATATGCCTGATAGGCATATTTTACACCCATATTTTAGGTACATCTTTATAATAATTCTGCATTAGTTATTTAATATTGTCTTATAATTAGTTCTTTTTATATATAATATTAAATATATAATATATATATATATATATATAT